AAAACCCACACACACACACACACACACACACACACACACACACACACACGAGTGAAAAGTGCTGTGCAAGGAATAGCATTATCTACACAGCAAAATACAGGACTGAGCAGCCTGGGCTTCGGCACGTAGCACTACAGTTAAAACACACAGCTGAAGTGGCTGCTCTCAGGGACAGCAGAGGTCTGGAGCCTGGCCAGTGTCAGGCAGGCTTACTGGGGGATGGATAATAATACCAGGGTGGGATAGAGCAACTGTTTCCTACAATAGGGACACTTGACCCTTTAAAGGGATCTGGGGTATTTACTGCACATGGTGGGTGGGGGGCGGGGATGGACAAGGAACTCCATTGTCAGATTAAGTCAAGAGTTACAAGGGCAAACAGCTGAGGAATGGCCAGGGACAGCTGGTGCGGTGGAGCTGGGGTGCCACAGTGGGAGGGGCAGGGTTTGCCCGGAGAAACCAGTAATCTGGATTTCCTGTAAAATTTCCAAATCAGAACACATTGGCAGAGTGTTACCAGTTCAACCTGTGGACCAGGGCTGGTGGGGGAGGCTTGGCTCCCACCCTTTCCCACCTGCAGAGCCTCGGATGGGTGGGCTCCTCCCTCTTCCTTTCCTCACCCCCCCCACCAGCCTTCCCCTCCTCTCCCATCTCTATTCCTCCTCCTCCTCCCAGCAACCTCAGACTTTCTCCTCTGGAGTACCTTCTCCTCAACACACACACACACACACACAGACACACACACACAAACTCGCAAGGCCTGCCCTCTGCGAGCCATGCTCAGCTAATGCTTGTACTACCCAACACTCTGTTTCACCCCCAGGCCCAGTAAGGCCAGAGGTGGCTCACAGTCGATCCCAGCTGTTTGGCCAGAAGCAGGTGCGCGGGAAGGATGGGCAGGCAGGAGTGCCAGGCACCCCCACACACACACACACTCACGTTGGGGCTCCAAATATAGAGCAGAGCCCCATCGGGGTCTTCCAGGTCCACATCTCCTCCTCTGCACCCACCGGCCACTGCGTCCGAAGGTCTTGTCTCTTTTTCATTGTCGGATCAAGGCTTCGGCCATCACGATC